CACACACACACACACACACACACACACACACACACACACACACACACACACACACTACACATGCAGGAGAAACATCTGGTCAAACTATCAGTAACAGTAAAACAGGAAATGTTTTTTATCTCATATCCAGGTTAAGAAATAAGTCTGCTGCAGGTTATTTTACAACAATGGCTTTATTCTTCAATCAGACTCATCCGGTTCCCAATAAACCTATGAATGACTTGAGAAAGAAAAAGAATAAAGGCTGACATCCTTTACAAACCAATGGGGAGATATTACAATAAAACAAACCCACTTACAGTTGGTCAAATCAGAAATGATAAAGTCTCCTTTAAGTTCTGCTTTGCTTTAGATTGGGTCACATTTGGCTCTTTTATACCTTCAGACACTTTTAATTTGAAGATTTCTCTCTTTTTTAAAAACGCACCACATGAATGGAAGGCCTAGCGTTCTTTTAAGGAATGCATACCATCCGCTGCCTTTTATGCAGTTTTAAAATATGGTTATTTTACGAACGGAAGAGACAATTTGTTCAAACCAAAATGACCTTCAGCTACTCCCACTTCAAACTTTAGCTCCATATCTCTACAGTTGATTAAGTTGTAGCCATTTTAGCATCTGCTAAAGGTGCTTAGCTGTGGCAGCCATCTTGAATTGTGCAGCAGGTGACAAAATAAAGTACAGATCTGTTTTATTATCAAAGGGAATACCTTTCGTGAAGCCAGGAACTCCATGCCTTTTGACACTTGGAAACTGTAGCAGATTAAATCCTCCAAAGTCAGAATTTTCTTGTACAAATCTTCAGATTCTGTGAAACAAAAGCAGATGATGTTTTAGTTTTTATTTGAATTTTTCTTTTGTTACTGAGATTTGTTTTTCATAAATTCAAGACAGTTTTGTTTTGAAAAGCAGTCAGCTCCCTGCACCTGTCGGATAAATCAGACAACATGAAACACGGGGGATTCTCCTGGAGCGTAGTCTTTGAGACATCCGCCACAGATGAGACATGAAAACACGTTTTTTTGAAATTTATTTTGAGGATGTAAGGTGAAACGTGTGGTAACGAGTGTCGTTTAAGCAGCTCCCAAGGAGTCCTTCCACTGCTCCACCTGTGTAAACAGTTAATCAGATCTGAAATAACACATCAGAAACAACATGGCTGACATGCTGGGTGAGGAACAGGAAACAAACAGATGCCTCCCCCCTCCTCGAGCTCTGTGGGGGTGACAGTGGCTCCCTCTGCAGTGATTGTGCTGCTGAACAGGAGGAGGAAACGTCCCAACAGACCTGAAAACAATCTGTGGGTGGGTGGGGACAGAAAGGGAGGGGGGGTGGAGGAGTTGAAGGGAAGCCTTTACCTTCTTCCTCTTCCTCTGAGTCGCAGTAGCTCTTATCTTCGACGAAGCCAGAGCTCGCCGAGCTTCCTGTGCTAGCCACGCTCTCCAGGCGGCGCTTCATCAGCTCGCTCAGCTCGCAGCCGGACCCGGCCGACACCACCTTACCCTCCGGCCTCTGCATTCGGGACGAACGAGACGAGGTTAAACCCCCGCCGATGTTTGCAGACGCTTCTTGACAGGATGACTGTTGGAACATGCTGGAGGAGTTCAAATCACGCGACTCACCTTGTAGACCAGAAAGTCATCCCTCTTCCCTCTCAAGTAGTTGGACAGGTTGCCGTATTTGCAGAACTCCACTATCATCATTAAGGGCCCTGCAAAAAAAGTCATATTTGGTGTGTGAGCAGTTTTTTGGATGTTACTTGCATATTATCAAATAACCATATTAGCTTCTTACTGTAGGTCTAAATTAAAATATTAATTTTCATATTCATTCCGGTCAAAGCTCCAGAGAGACCAAAGAACAGACACAGCATCTAACCGTGATTTACTGTCATTTGGTCCTAAATGGTCTTCTTTAGCAGCAGAAGAACTCACCTCCAGGTTTTGTGCAGGCTCCCAGCAGGTTGACCACGTTCAGGTGGTTGCCAATGTGGATCAGGATCTTCAACTCTGACATCAGGGCTTTACGCTCGTTTGATGTAGCGCCTCCTGCATGCATAAAAAGAGTCAAAGTAATGTGCGTTACTTTTTTTAAAATAACTAATTAAATCAGGCCTTAATTTTGGCTTATATCTGATGAATGTCATGCAGTTTCCATTAAACTCAACTCAATTTTAAAAACTTTATTTATTCCCAAGAAAATCCCACAATTTTACACAGTTTGCATTATTTCTCTAATGTTTACCAGATTTTTTTTCATTTATAACATTTATATCCTACAGGTTCAGTATTTTTGCCATTTTAAATTAAAGACAAACAAGATAATTGCTTGATATTTGCCAAGAAAATATATTCATTTTCATAGAGTCCAAAACATATAAAGTAGTCTTTATATTAAAAAAAATCTAATTAAAAAAATTGTGAGACAAATCTATGTGCTCATAATGATTTCGAAAACTTTAAATGATGGCATCAGGCACGTGCNGGGGGTGGAGGGGGCTGGAGCACCTGCCCCTTTAGTGGTCTCTGCACGGCCCTGGATGTCATCATCATTTAAAGACTGTTTCTTTTAACAGCAACGTATTTAAATAAGCAAAATAAATAAAGCAGTGATGGATCGTTGTAAGCTTCTGCTTTTCATTACATTTGACCTGCAAACAGTTCTTTATCCCAAACATAATTAATAGACATAAAACTACTAAAAGCTCTTTTTGCTGTGCCTCACACGTACGTCATCCCCACATACTCACTGCTGAGTTTGTGATTTGTTTCTCCAGAAAAATAAATCTATAAAAATCAATTTGTCAGAATTAAAAAGCTGTGATAAATGTAAATAAATAAATGAATAAATAAAAATCCACCAAATTATTTCTTTAGATGTGCTTTGTTTTCTTTCTGAGCCACGACTGATGAAAAAGTTTTGAAGGTGTAGTTTGTCTCGTAATAAAAAACAAATCTAAAAAAAAGAGGAATTTAGGTGTCGCTTGTTTTGTCCTCTTGTTCAGCTGCAGATCGGAACCGTCCAACGTGAAGTCAATCATTTGATTTAAAGGGCAGGGTTAAGGTCTTATTGTTTACTTCTACTTCTCCCTCTGCAGGAAACACACGTTTGAACTGTTAAGCCAGTTAAAAATTAATTGCAGATGTTGCAGCAGGAGTCTGTAAAGTCCACTATAAATAAATATATCAGTCATCTGCTGCTCGCAACTAAACACTGAACTCTGTTAGGATGATGCTGTATGCTCTCGTTGAATCTCACAATCTGTAATCAACTCCAAACTTAAATATATTTTCACTTTTCGTCCTACCTTTCAGCATTTTGACAGCAACGGTCTTGCAGGTCGAGAACTTGTCGATCCCGAAGGCGGAGGCCTCCACCACTTTTCCGAAAGCTCCGTGGCCGAGAGTTTTACCTGACAGAGACAGATAACGTCTGATAAGTGGAGCGACGCCAGAGGCTCTCGTCTCTCCGAGGCGAAAATAAACACAAACATCTGTGCAGATTCCCCTATCAGGAGCCCTCTGGCGCTCTGATCGGGTTCATTTTGCAGCTAAATTTATGGTTCACTTTATCCAGGATGACAGTTCAGGTCAATGATAAGTGATGACCCAGAGCTGCAGCTGCTGAGAGGGGAGACAACGCCGATGTGTGTCTTCTTGTCATGTTGGAGAAAACTTTCAGCCTTTAATGGTCAAATAAAATATATATTTTTTTATTTTCATCTTTTACTGGACATTTCAGTTTTACATGTGACACTCAGAAGTGAGGTTTTTGGAGGTCTGTAAAGTGCTCACCGAGGCGCAGGCGATCCCGGGGAAACTCCCACTTGCTGCTGTCGTACTGAAGCAGGTCGTTCTGCTCCTCCAGAGGATACTCATCTGGATCAATGATGATAGACGGACCCATCTTGTAGTGTGCTGGTTGCTGAAAAGTTTAGTGGATTGCAATGATTATCTGTACTTTTCTTTCCATAATAATTAAGATTTAACTTTAATTTGAAAAAAAAAGTGAAGTATAAATGTTTAAATGAATGCATTCCACACAATTCAATTTGTCTTTTTGAACACATCATGTTCTTCTAAATGACATCCGGCACGTTCAAACCAAAAACTCTAAAACTCGTAAATAGAAGCTAAATTTATCCCGTTTCGCAACAAGCATGAGTTAGTTCCAGGGAATGAAACTGGGTGGCCTTTAGAGGCGGAACTTTTGAGTCACTTTTCTATATTTGGGGTTTCAGAGAAAGACAGTTTTTCGAATGTTACCCACCTTCCTGAGCTTCCGAATGCACATGATGAGCATGATCCAGAGGAAAGTGGCAGCAGCTCCAGTGCACACCAAAATGATGACCTCGATATTTGGCTTCCCCTCATCTCCTGGGGAGAGAAAATCTGTCATCAGCTTTGTTCTGGCAGAAAATCACAGAGCACTTTCTTCTCTCGTTAGCTGTTCTGTCGTATTAACAAAGACTTGCGGTGAACTGTGATCAAAAGGGGAAAAATAAATAAAAATGCCTGTCATAAATTTATTTCATGACGTTCTTTCTCGGACTTGTTTGTCTGTTTCTTCCTGCGCCGAAAATGGAATTCCACTTTTGTTTGGTTACATGCATGCCTTTGTTCCAGAAGCATTTCTTTTGTTTTTTTGGAACAATCTGACAACTCATAACCCCCGAATCTGAACTTTTCTAATTAAACATAAACAGGAGAACTGCTTCTGTTGAATATAGATAATAGAACAATAAAATAATTTACCGGAACACAGGCAGTAATATTTATAAAACCACACAAAGAGCAAAAAATAAATAAAAAATAAAAAAACAAGCCTGTTTTCCAGTTACCTTCTGTGTTTATTTCTTCTTGCTGGTCACAGCAGTCAATCTTTTAAGACTTATTAGTGACCCTCTTAGCCCTCGACGGAGGTTATGTCCTCTACAAAAGGGCCCTCAGCCAAACTATGATCATAAAACCCAAGAAGGAATTCTCTTGGCATTCCTGGCAGCTGCCAATTTTCCAGCAGGGTGGCTTTTTTCCCTCCTCTAAAGTCTGACCAGAGCTTTTTGTAGTGATGAAAAGAAAACACAAGCCCAAAAGGGCCTCTTTGATATTTCTGGACACAAAAAAAACTGCTCCGATTTTTTGTTTGGACTAATTATTCATTTTGATACGATCAGCAGTTTTTTGTTTTTATGATTCCGACTCACCGAACACGGTGATGACAGCACTGGTTTTTGCAAACCCCTCAACGTTTTGGGCCACGCACTCGTACAGACCCTCGTCATCTTTCTTCACCCTTTCAATGACCAGACTCCCGTCTTTCTCCAGAGTGACTCCTGAAACACAGAAATATCAGAACGATGAGGTAGCATTTGGAGGCGTGTGGCTTTCGCTTTCAAGTTGTTTGCGAAAAATGCTGGTAACAAGCAATTTAATTAAAGTTAACTAAAATTAAAGTTACAGTTATTCTTTTAAATCTGTGTCTCATACACATAACTTTCAGACACTGTTCATTTGTTCACCTAAACTTGCTGCACAGTATGTTGTCAGAACCAAGGACTGTGCTGAAAATTTGAGAAAAAAGCAAGTGTCCAAAGAAAAAAACTGTCAATCAAGATCACTTTAAAATCTGGCAGCTTAAAATCAGGAGTGGTTTAAAAACATTTGTACATTATTTCATGTAACTTTATTGAATAAGGTACCTGGACTCTGTTCCACTTTCACACCGTTTTTGAACCACGTGATGTAAGGATGAGGAACTCCTGAAGCGTTGCACGCCATCACCAGGGTGCAACTGCTGTTCACGTCTTGATTGGTCAGATTATGACTGATCCATGGTCGCTTTTTCTCTGTAACAAAGAAATAAAAAATTAGAGGTAATGTTTCTTTTAAAAAAATACATAAAATAAAAAATGCCCCATTATTGGTCGCAAAACTGCTTTTTTTGGGTGATATAAATTGCAGGCCATCAACAGATGATTATTTCAAAAAAAAAAAAATCTTAGAAATAGAAATAGTGTTGCAATTTTTTAACAAAAAAAAAAGAATCAGCTTTTCTTTCAAAGTTGATCTTTCTGAAGAAAATGTTCACCGGATGGGAAGTGAAACGCCTTTAACTACAAAACGAAAGTTCGTTTTTTTCTTTGCTTTTTCTGTTCTTTGTTTAAAACTTTGGCACACAAAGCAGCAGGCAGTACCCTATCTTTAAAATAATGCGCGTTTCAATAATGAATATGAAATTAAAATAGGAGGAAACAGGTTTTTAATGAGATTGGAGGAGACTGTGCTGCTCTCAATCAGTAAAACAAAAAGAAAAAAAAGTAACAAAACAGGATTTTTTTCTGGAGGCGCCCCTGCTTACCATTCACTGTTAGCATAGCTGTCTTCATCTTACTCCTCTCGTGAAGCTTGCATGCTCGGCACTTGTAGCCTGTGGTGTTGTTTTGGGACACATTGTGCAGATGTAAAGAGCGGGAGATGGAGTAGGGGCCGATCTGCATGTCGGACACGTTGACGGTGATGGTTTGATTCCTGGAGTCCAGCCACTGCAGGCTTGTGTAGAGGTAACGCGTTGCTTGACACGTCAGGGTCACGTCATCGCCCTCCACGGCTGTTTGAGGTTTGATGGAGACTTCCTCGGAGGCATCTGAAGTGACAAAGCAAAAGAATGTGGACTGTCTTCCTCATAAATCGTATATTTATTCTTCAGTGCAGCATCTGTTACAGTACACACATCATTTACTAATTTGTTCAAAAGTTCTTAACACATACTTTTCATCAGAGGTGAAAGGAATGTCAAATTCGCCATTGTTTCCTGTTTAATCACTATTAATTGGAAGCATGTTGGCGGACAGCCTTGATGGTGCTTCTGCTCTCCAACTGGAGCGAGGCTGACTATGTGACCCAAGGGAACCAGACTGTGCTTGTTTATTCAGTTTGCTGGAAAGCATTATCTGTTCCATAAGAGAAGACAGCTGTTATTACAATTATACTTTCTTTTTCCTTTTTGAACCATTCCTTCACTCTTCATCCTCTTCACCTCTGGATCTAGATTCCTCTCGGGAATTCTTTCCCTCCGAGAGAGTATTTATTGGCACAAGACATCCCCTCTAATAAAAGGTTGATCTATTTCTAAGGTCTACAAACGGAGCCCTTCGCCCTTCAGGAGATTCGCACAAATTTAAAGGGAAATGTGTTTTACTTTACAGCAAAGGAGAGCTGTGTTTATCTGCGATGACACCTCATCCCCGATGTTGTTGCATAACTGTCTCAGTCAACAGCTTTTCTTTTCTTTTTTTTTTTGTGGGGAACATTTGGAAATGCTCAGATGCACATATAAAGTCAATTCTCACTGGGCACACAGGCCCAGAGAGGAAGAGGGATGACCTGCTGGCACTGGTGCAGGAATGCGCTTATTCGTAGTTGTTTTGTTTTAAACGCGTGTCGTTACAGCCTCTCCATATGGCTCAGGACACGTTTGACTCGCTTCTGCCTTGAAGCTGTTCAGCTACAGTGGAAGATGTTTTCAGTTAATGCCCCCCTCTGGACTCTTTATTGCACAACACAATCTGCACATTCCTTCCCTGTTCTGGCAGTTCATTATAGCGTGAACTGTGGCTCATTTGAAATAATCCACGGCGTGGACTGCAGTAGGATGAAAAGGTTTTCCGCGTGCACCACGAGCTGAGACCTGATCGCTGACACTTACTGCTAACGTAGAAAGGCATTGTCAGTGTGCTGAAGCCCTTTTCATTCTGGGCCTTGCAGGTGTAGAATCCAGACACACTAGCTTCTCCGATCACCAAGGTACCCACCGTCTGGAAAAAGAAATGTTTATAACATTAAAAAAACGGAACAAATCACCCACTTTCATGTTAAAGTTTTAGACTAAGATCATCTTACACTGAGGAATGACAAAGTTGTAGTCATTTTGGCCAAAAGCTTTGCAAAATCCCATGTGATATTATTAAATGGCACACATGCATATGTCCTGAATGACTCTCAGCTACAACCACATCAAATTTTAACTAAATCTCTATCAAATTCACACAGTTATACATAACTTAATTTAAGGTAAGCTGTTTATCAGATCCTAAGTGTAAAATAAAACGTTAACACTGTCATAAACACATTTTCATTGTTTAGCTCAAAATTTATTTAAACATTTTATTATTTATCCCACTGTTCTTATATTTTGCTCATTTTTTACTAACGTTAAATAGATGCAAACAACGAATCCCATATTTAAATGTGTAAATCAAAACGTAAAAGGTAAATGTTGAAGTTTACATTTAAGAATTTCGAAATGGAACGCAGCCTTTTATTGTTGGTGCTCGGCTCTTGTTATGACGTCACCATCCTGCGACAAAAGCAGCAGCTAACACCGCTAATGCTTGAGTGACATCAAATTTGTAGTTGCGGTCGGTGTCCGAGCTGTATTTCAAAGTGCCGGACCACAGGTACTATTCATGTTGTTTTCAATGAACGCATTTTTAATTTATACTGGAAATTCCATCTTCAGCAGCGTTAGCAGCAGTTAGCATTAGCTAACCAGGATGATGTCATCATCCCGCTGCAAATGTGATTTTTTTTGTTGGGTGTTACTCTTAGAAAGTGAGCTAAATAATGGAAACATGTTAGGGACGTATTTCCATGTTTTAACATTTTATTTTACACTTGGTTCCCCATAATTGGCTGTGGCAGGCATCCGAATTTTTTGATTATTAAAGTTAATCAGCTGTAGATTTAGATCCTGTTGTCACTTCCTGAAAATTTGATTAAAATGTGTCTTTTTGTTCAAACACACACACACACACACACACACACACACACACACACACACACCAAAAAACAAATTGTTGGGCAACCTATGGGAATTTTCTTTGTTGTATTATGGTGGAAAGATTTCGCCATAAGTCGAAAGGATGAGGCAAACAACTGAAATGTCAAACTTCTGTCTTCCTAAAAAACAACTCATAGGTTACCAGTTGAGGACACCTTAGATGTTCTACTGGGTGGAACAAATGAAACAAATCTTTTTGTGTTGTATTTAGCAACAGTGGAAGTAAGGCTGCCAACTGTCCTCTCCTGCGTAGACTTGTACAAGTTTATCTAGCTAACATTAAGATTTTTTTTCAACTTTTCCTCTTGACATATAGGAGATAGAAAAGCATGTTTTTGAAATATATATCATCATATTTCATAATAGCTGTCACAATATGCACCTTATAATTATTTATTTAAAATGTTACATGGATTTTGTAA